TTACAGACACAGGAGGAACATAGGACAGTGGATCCAAATCACACTACACAAGTGATGCAAATAACTTCAAGTACAGTGCTTTATTCCTCAGTGTGTACAGCTGTTAACAAAAGTGTCTGTCACAAATCCTGAAAAAAATCCCCCATCTAGTTTTCAATTTTTTATCAAACAAAACAATATTCAGGTAGGTATTCACTGAGTGTGAATAAACACAAAACTGCTCACAAACATATATATGAAAATCTTTTACTTACAACACAATTTTTGAAAATACATTTTTTGTATTGTTTAAATCAATTATTTTCATGACATTATTGCATTTTTTTTTTTATAAATTAAAAGCGTACATTCTGACAACATAGGACAGAAAAGGACATTTCATAATGTGGTGGTGCTTACTTTAGTTTTCAAATACTGGCTTCACATTTTGGAATTATTTCAGAAAAACTGAAATGGACAGATTAAAAAAAAAAAATAGTATCTACAACTTATTTAAATTTCTATCTTTTACATGACCTACAGAAATATCGAAATACACTATTGAAATAATTTACCTGTTGGAACTACATGTGGTGACACAGCGGGTTCACTCAATGGTTTATTTCATTCAGAACTGTCCTGCCTGCTATAAACGGGGTAAACTGCTGAGTGTAGAAGCCCCAAGGCACAGCCACATCCAACAGCTACAGCAGTTCAACTACTCCACTGCAACTTCACACCTTAAGACTGTTGGAGTCTTTATACACAGACAAGCCATTTGAATTTCTTAGTATATCACCATATCTTGGTGAAGCTAAATGCTTGATGGCTGTTTGGAAATTACTTGTAGCAAAAAAAACCCCAAACTATTGGATGACCAAACAGGATTTTATATTAAGGCTTTGATTGTTAAAAACTGCTCTCTCCATTCCTTTGCTGACCAGCACTTCACCTCCGAGGCCAGCAGCGTCACTTGCCACGTCAATTTGTGAGCTACTCCAGAGCATTTAGGCAAAAACCAAGCTCAAAAGCAAGAAAATCAGTATTGTGCTCCCACATGACCTCTGAGTGTCTCTCCAGAACAGCAGCTTATGCCAGAAAGGAGTGTAGAAAATAATGAATAAAAGAACAGTACTGCTAGCAGTTGAGTGAAGTTCAGCTGTTATTTCAAGAGTTCACAACCAAGCTAACACCTTCAAACAAGGACAGCTCCTGCCCTTTTTTGTTAGGCACGTGCTGGGACCCTAAATTACAGTAAGGCCCTACCCATCACCTCACATTCTCAAGCAGACTATGATCAGAGAGGAAATAACATGACAGAAACTTCTTAAGTTTATCTGGATTAAAATTTCAAATGAAAAGGTTGATGATGGCTAATTAATAGAATCTGTCACAAATTTTTGGCAGAGATAATTATTTGGTTTTGAACAGAGCTTTAAATTCATGCACAAGCTTCCTGTGAAACAGGACATGATGCGCACGTTCCTGAAGGTAAAACAACATCTTCAAAGCATGCCAACTATAGACACCAATAGGAAATTTGTGCAAAAAGAACTCCTAACTGTGGAACATAAAACCAAAATACATTTTTGAAGTTCAACTTGTAGTTAAGCCTAGAGCTACATACTCAAAGTGGCTCAGGGTTCCTCTGCTATGCAATCAACAGACACTCGCAAGCTTATCAGTCGCTGTGGGAACCTGGCTCTGATAAACACAGGCATCATCCCCCTGTCCCACCCCCTGTGCACTCAGGAGTGGCCTCACAGCAGGGGAGGAGATCTAAAAGATGCTGGACAACAGAAACTGTCTTCTTTGAGAGTTCTAAATTCAATTCTTGCCTACCTGTGTTCGCAGCCATAACTGTAGGAAAGCCTACTCTTCCTTCTGCAGCAACGCTGTCGGTGAAGGAGAAGGCACCCATACCATATCAAGGCAGAGTTCCTTTTAGGTTATCAAACCAACTGGTTTGGAGAGAAGTCACTGAGGAAGGGCAACTGTTGTATGAGATCTCTTATTAGCTGGGCAGTTGGCGATGCCCAAACATATAGCAGGTGGGACAGAAAACAAAAAAGGGGGAACACAAAGAAATGGTATGATCTTCCTCAAGAAGCTCACCTTATCCAACCTCTGTGTCTCAAGGCTGATTGAGAAGGAATACATAAATGAACTCTTACCAGACATAATGGCTGCAGAAGTTTCCTACCCAATATGACGTTACAATATTTTATGAAACACAATAAAATGGAAACAAGTAAACAGGTAAAATGAAAATAGACCCTATCAAAACTAGATGGTACACGCTCTGACTTGTAAATTGTCTCAGATATATTTACACACAAGCCAACAGATTTTATTAATTTCTGTAAAGTATTAATTCAGAACATTATTTTCAATGTGAAGTTCTGTAAGAACAAGAATCCTAATTTTGTCTAAAGGATTTTAACATTTGATATTAAAATTAATTTACATGTCCCACATGAAAACTAGGTGAAGAGGAAAAGCCTGAAAGCAGCATTCTAGAGTCTTTTAGAAGTGTTGCCATCCGATTCTTAGGCCTATTTATTTTTTTTTCTACACAGCAATATGGAGCAGGGGAATGGACATGCAACATGCAATAATTAAGAGAGGCCTGAACATTAAATAATATATATTTTGTTTGTTTAGAAAGGGTTTTATTCAGTTTTCTGAGCCTTATTTTAAATAAAATGACATATTAAAAAACACCATATGAGCAGTATGAAAAACAAGGTCTTTAGTCATCACATTGTAGTATAAAAGTTCTGTTAACTAAAAGAATTCAATGAGAACATCAGTTGGTCTAATGCAATGATGCACATGGTCATACTTCATTCTAACCTAAACCCAAACGAACCTATCTAAATTCCTGATACCAGTAAACACCACCACTATGTTTTGCCAGTTACTCTGTTGATATTTACAGTATTTTAGTATCTTCGGTATCCTCCCCCTCCTCT